TCTAAGTTGTCAAAGAGCACTGGCTTTGGGCTCCCTGCATCATACAACAAATTCCCACTGGCTATCTATTTTACATATAGTAATGTTTATGTTCCAGTGCTACTCTCTCAAAACATCCCACCCTCTCCTTCTCCCACTGTGTGCACTAGTCTGTTCTTTTATGTCTGTGTCTTCTTTGCTGCCTTGCAAATAGGTTCATCAGTACCATCTTTCTAAATTCCATATATATATGCATTAATATATGATATCTGTCTTTCTCCTTCTGACTTACTTCACTCTGTATAATAGGCTGTAGGTTCATCCACCTCATAGAACTGATTCAAATGTGTTCTTTTTATAGCTGAGTAATATACCATTGTGTATATGTACCACAACTTCTTTATCTATTCATCTGCTGATGGACATCTAGATTGCTTCCAAGTCCTAGCTATTGTAAACAGTGCTGCAATGAACATTGGGGTACATTCTTTTTTAATTATGATTTCCTCAGGGTATGTGACCATTAGCAGGACTGCAGGGTCATATGGTAATTTTATTTCTAGTTTTTAAAGGAATCTCTATACCGTTCTCCATAGTGGCTGTATCAATTTGCATTCTCACCAACAGTGCAAGAGGGTTCCCTTTTCTCCACACCCTTTCTAGTATTTACTGTCTGTAGAGTTTTTGATGATGGCCATTCTGCCTTCTTTTCTTTTATTCTTTTCTCCATTCTGCCTTTTGTTCCTTACTATAGTCTAGTTCAGCAGGATAATTTTGATATAATATGATTTTGCTTTACTGATTTTAAAAATTAATTCTGCATAAAAGATGTGACTCTGTTGAATCAGGGAATGATACCCTAATTAATGGGATTCCATGGTTGCTCAGACAGTAAAGAATCTGCCTACAATACAGGAGACCCAGGTTCAATCCCTAGGTCAGGAAGATCCCCTGGAGAAGGGAATGGCTACACACTCCAGTATTCTTGCCTGGAGAAGTCCAAGGATAGAGGAGCCTGGTGACTATAGTCCTTGGGGTTGCAAAAGAGCTGGACAGGACTCGGCAACCAAATAACAACAACCCTAATTAATACCATATTAACCAACTAGTTTCTATATTGGTCTGCTTTACAATATTTGATTTGATTTGATAGAGTACAGTAACCTGTGGCTTACAGTCAATGAGTAGTTTGATAGTCATTTATAATGGTTAGACTTGTGCTCTGAATAAGGTCTCTATCTTATTAATTAGATTTGTTGTTTTAAGACAGCTTTGACATATGAAATTCTTCTTTTGTATGTATACAATTAACATAATTAAAATTATAATAATTAAGAGTTTTAAAAATGACTTACACTTTTAAAAACAATAAATTCTTTCAAAGAGTATTTCTGCTTTTCTATATTTTAAGTCAACAAGATTTTTGGTACACCAGGGAAAATTTGCATAGGAAGAATAAAGGTTAATGTTGCAGATGTCAGTATTTTAATATTAGTCTACTTTAATAAATTTTAGGATAAGATTGTCTCCTATTGATTTAACATTTTTGGATTAATATTTCTATATTATAATACAAGTGCATTATAAACAAAAATAGATAATTTTCCACATAGTAAAACTTGTACAGTGAAGTATTTTTACAAAGTTGTATAGTTTTAGAAAACTATAGAATTGGACTTTCTGTTCCTGAATGGGGCACCATTTTCTATTGAGTGCCATCAAATCACCTAAAGAAGAATATTGAGTATAAGATACATAGAACATTCAACCATGAAAGATAAAACAGGATGTACAAAACTATACAAAACCCCTGCGTTCCAGTTTTGATTCTGAAGTTTATTTAATTGAATTTTCTTTTTCCCTTTATCTCTAAAAAAAGAGAAATTGTGGGTTTTTTTCTGCTCAACTCAGGCTTCCTATGATCCTGCAGCTCTAAATTAAAAACAAAACTTGCCAGGGACTTTCCTGGTGGTCTAGTGGTTAAGATTCTGTGCTTCCAATGAGGGGGGATATGAGTTTGATCCCTGATCAGGGAACTAAGATCCTATGTGTGGCACAGCCAAAGAATAAAAGTAAATAAGTAAATAAGTAAATAAAAATAAAACATGCCAAACCCCATTAATTCTGAGATTAACATCTTTTCATGTTTCAAAAACCCTGCATCAGGATACATGGTTTTCTTCTTTCATAGTGATATATAAAATGATAATCCATGATAGCTCAGATTTGAGGACGCCTAATTACAGTTGTCTGAGATGTGGGCTTTGGAGTAAGCTAGTTAACTACAACAGTTCATAGCTCTTCAACTCTTACCAAGTCCTGAAATCTTAACTTTGCAGTACCAAAATCTTCCCTAGGCTGTATCCCATGTGATAACCAGAATTACTATAAGCCTTAACAAGATGGATTAAGTAAAAATAGAAACAAGTCAGTGATTGTGTTCCCCTCTAGCCTGTGATATAGTAGGGCAAAGATCTAAGACAGGATAGAAAGGGTAAAGTTCCTCTTAGCAGAATTTCTCTAGTCATGCAACAGGCAAGTTTCTGGTTCTAGTTTTATGCTTATATGCACAAAGAAAGGTATTTATTTATACCTCTGTTATGATTTATATTCAACATTTATATAATTTTATATAATAAAGAGTAAGATAACATTTTCTCTGCACAATTTCTGCATTTTCTAGTCACATTTAAGAAAATACAGAAAAGGATACACTCTTAAACTAGAAGAATAAAACTTTAAATCAAGAATATTTAACATTTACATTCTTTAGAAATTTCTCCTGACTACCACTCTATCCTCTATTGGAATTATTCAACAAGTACAACTTCAATCATTTGTATGTATATATATATATATATATACACACACACACATATATAAAACGTGTGTGTATGTAATATATAATCTGCAACTGATTATCTAATATGGCATAGCTATTTTAATTTTAAGAGAGGTATATCTGGAGAAAGTACCAACATTATGAGTTTGCTTTAGATGATTTTGATCCTATGATGAACTTCCTATAAATAAAATTTACTAACACTTTAGGCTTTGGCACTAGGTCAAAATGATGGTTTTAATTCATGTTTGCAGTTCAGCAGCAACATCAATGAAGAAACGCAGTAAAGGGGAGAGGGGGTATCAAGGACTGTGGGGGCTCCTTAAAGTAGACTGAGTTCCAACATACGGGATGGGTCAGAAGCAAAAATATGAGTGGGAAATAGCTAACCTCCATCATTTTATTGTAAAGAATATACTGCAAGCAAGAGTCCTACTTCCATCATAACAGTTAATCAGTTTGGGTTCTTTACTAGATATAGTCACTTTTCCCAAAAATGAAGATGCAAGAGTTTCAATAAGAACCTAGGTCACATGGGAAGAAGCAGGATAAGGCAGTTGAAATATACTAAATATATAAAGGGATCTAACTACATTACCACTCTTGGCCTGGATATAGTTTAGGATGCATGAGCACAATTCCCAAACTGGAAGAGTAGATCATTGTAACTATTTTCATTTCCCCGTAAATGTTACATGTCACTAACATAATAAAACTCTGGATCTATGGAATATCTAGGCAAATTACAGACAGGAGATTAGAAGTTAACAGGGACTGGAGAGAGAGAAGAAGAGAAAGTTATTGCCTAATGGGTACAGCGTTTCTATTTGGGGTGATGACAAAGTTTGGAACTAGATATTGGTGACTATAGTTGCATAGCAATGTGGATATAATTAATACCACTTAGTTGTATATTTAAAAAATGGAAGATCTTAAGTCATTTATGTTTTATTTTACAGTAAATGAAAACTTTTGACCATGTGTGGTTTATAACTTCTTCAAAACTAACAGAAGTGAAGTGAAGTGAAAATTGCTCAGTCCTGTCCAACTCTTTGTGACCCCATGGACTGTAGCCTGCCAGGCTCTTTTGTTCATGGAATTCTCCAGGCAAGAATACTAGAGTGGGTACCTATTTCCTTCTCGAGGAGATCTTCCCAACCCAGGGAATAAACTCAGACCTCCTGTATTGCAGGCGAATTCTTTTTTTTCCCTCCATTTATTTTTATTAGTTGGAGGCTAGTTACTTTACATCATTGCAGTGGTTTTTGTCATACATTGAAATGAATTAGCCATGGATTTACATGTATTCCCCATCCCGGTCCCCCCTCCCACCTCCCTCTCCACCCGATCCCTCTGGGTCTTCCCAGTGC